CCCCCAAAAAAAAAAATTTAAATATATATTTTCAGTCATAATTTTATTATTTATCGGTTTAAAGGCTCAAATTTTACAAGTTCCAAAATTATGAGTTCGGAGGTTTATGTGTTTGGAAGTTTGCGGGTTTAGAAATTATAAAGTTTACGGGTTCGAAATTCCATGGTTTTGAAAGTTTAGTAGTTCCAAAAGTTTATGAAATTTGTGGGTCCGGAAGGTTGTCGATTTAAAAGTTTATGGCTTCATGTTTATTATATCTAAATTATTTATGAATACTCTTGAGAAGTCATTTTCCTTAATTTGCGTACCAAACACCGAAAAATGAATAAAATTACTACTTATTTTCTAAGAAAACATTTTCTTGGAAAACATTTTCCGTTACACCAAACACACCTTATAAGTAATTTACATCGGTTGATACCCAAAATTTATGATTTTAATTTCAAGTATAAAATGACACTTTCTTTCTACCAATCACGAGTTGTAAAGTTTTCTTGTTTATTAAAGCAGGAAAAGATGTTTCGCATATAACGTCATAATAACAATAGTACTTATAGCCTCTTTTGGCCGAAAAATCAGTTTATTTTGAAAAGTATTTTTTTAACAGCTTGTATTTGGCGAGTCATCCTAAAGAGCACTTTTGAACAATTATTTATATTTTGCCAAACTTTTCAAAAAGTGCTTTTAAGTATCAAATTACAAATAAGGACATGAATAGATTTATAGTTAATATTATAAGTAGATAAATAATCTCAAAAATTTATTATTACAAATAATAATTAAATCTTTTCATTTTATTTAAGTAAAATATGAAAATAAATTTAAAGGTACTTTAATTGTTTTAAGATGATTTAATATATTAAAACTCATTCAGCAAATATAAGAGCATTTACCCCTAAAGTTACTATATATTAAAAAGCTATCTCAAAATTAAGAAGAAATACTTATATATCAATATCCTATGTATTAGGTTTAAAACAAGTAAGGTCATTTTGGTATATCCTATATTTTGTTAAGTGTATTTTGGGTAAGAAAAAAGTCACTGCTTCTGCTTTTCCTTTAGGGAATACACTATTTTTTTCTACTTCTCATAAATTGTTATTGCTTCTTCCCAAATATACTTTTTTCCCTTAAAAAGTCATAGCCAACACACCTTAAGTTGAGAGAAAAATACGAAAAAAGTCCAAATATGCCCCTGAACTATTGAAAATAGAGCAATTATTCCCTCCGTTTGCATTTGGATACAAACTTGCCCTTGCCGTTAATAAAGTGGTTCACTTTTGCCCCTTCCCACTAACAGACTCCACATCAGGACAATTTTATATCCAATACAGACGGAAGGTATAATTGCTCTATTTTCAATAATTCAGGGGCATGTTTGACCTTTTTTCGTATAAAATAATACTTTTTTGCTTAGTT